GGAATAAAGACACAGCCCTACTAGAGAATGGACTTGAGGATATGGGGAGGGGGAAGGGTAAGCTGTGACAAAATGAGAGAGTGGCATGGACATATATACACTACCAAACGTAAAACAGCTAGCGGGAAGCAGCCGCATAGCACAGGGAGATCAGCTCGGTGCTTTGTGACCACCTAGAGGGGTGGGATAGGGAGGGTGGGAGGGAGGGAGACGCAAGAGGTAAGAGATATGGGAACATATGTATAATTGGTTCACTTTGTTATAAAGCAGAAACTAACACACCATTGTAAAGCAATTATACTCCAATAAAGATGTAAAAAAAAAAAAGATAAATCAAATCACTGAATCTAGAGTAACCAAGTATCTCTAAGCAAAAGTCCTTGGACTATGTGCTATTTCTACCAACACTCTCTGAGCACCCGTCGTGGGCAGATAACTTGCTCCTGAGACAGGCACGCCATACTGGGCACAGTGGCCTTACAGATGGACGTGGTGTGACCTATCCTTAAGAACACACTGAGGGGAGAGAGATTGGAACATGGCTGTCTGCTTGAGCTGCAGCAACAAAATACCACAGCTTAAAAAACAGACCCATTTCTTACAGATCTGGAGGCTGGGAAGTCCAAAAGTAGGTGCTGGACAATTCTGTTCTGGTGAGGGCCCACTTCTCAGGTTGCAGGGGGTCCCCTGCCCACTGTGTCCTCCCATGGCAGTGGGTGGGTGAGAGCCAGCTCTGGTGTCTCTTCCTCCTCTTATGAAGGCACTAATGCCATCGTGGGGCCTCCTCCTTCATGACTTTTTTCTAACCTTAATTACCTCCTAAAGGCCTCACCTCCTAATACCATCACATTGGGGCTTATGGCTTCAACACAGGAATTTGAGGGGGACACAAACATTCAGTCCATAACTGTACAGTCAGCTGTAATCACTAGTTAATAAATGGATATGGTTGGTTCAGAGATCTCAGATAAATTGTCTGTACTCAGAGTACTCCTCAAATATTTAAGTATACTTGGAAATCATTCCCTCAATTATTTCAGACTCTTCCCAAGTCTTATGTACGCTTTCAATTTATTTCACAAACGCTTTCTTGGCAAATAATGCAAACAGATCCAGTGGGGTCCAGCAAGAATAAGTGGAGTCTAAATTAAAGTGAGTTTCCTCCATTAATTTTTATTTCCATTTTTTCAGATAAGGCAACAGAGAGTCATCAGGTATGCAAGAGTGTGTCCGTGAATAAAGGATTACTGAAGAACTAACTATCCCTGATTTTCTTGGAAAAAGAATATGGAAATGTCCCCACTTGTGGAGAAATAAGTTTAGGATCATCAGAAGAAAATAATCAATGAGAAAACCATTAACTTTGATTGAATGTTTAGCATGTGCCAGACGCTGTGCTAATAGAGGCTTCGTATATTATCTCATTTAATCATCACAAAACCCGAGGTTTTATCACAAGGCCCACTTTACATATGAGGGCACCAAGGCTCAGAGAGGTTAAGTAACTTGCCCAAGGTCAGCCAGCTAATAAATGGAAGAGTAAAGATTGGAACTCAGGTCTGTCCTACTTGAAAGCTCATGCTCTTAATCAAACAAATAAGAATAAGAATGTAAATACAGCTGTCACTTATTGAGCACTTACTGGATGCCAGGAGCTGTGCTAAGAATCTCTTAATAAATGAGTCATTATCTTCTTCAAAGTTCTCTGACATTGACTCACCTGAGCGTCTCCATTAAATCTGAGGAAGACAGCATAAGGGAGTGAATACAGGAGAACAAGGAAAATATGTGGAAATAAATCACTGACTTGATTTGGTTATAGGACTCAGGGTAATTCTGTCTTAGTTGTTATTTTAACAATGCATCTTTCCATTAAGCAACACTTTGCTACAGGAAAGAGCAGGAGTTTCATCCCACAAACCATTAGGTGAATGATCATGGGCAAAAAGCCCCCAACCTCTCTGAGCCTCAGCTTCCTCATCTGTAAAATGGTACAACAAAAACACTACCACTACCTCCCTTTCAGATGTATTGTAAAAATCAAGTGAAACAATGTCTGCAAAAGCACTTTATACACTTTTTTAAAAAACTATATGTTTAGGCCTAAGGCCAAAAATGGGTTAATCATACTGTGATATTTACGTGAGTTTGATCACTCAGACGCTATAAACACCATGTAAAAGAGTAGGCGTTAATAATTAAAGCAGCCTGGTGCTGGCATGTGAATATACAGATGGAGGGATAGAGAGACTAGAAATAGACCACCCACATATGGGAATTTGGTGGATGATAAAGTGGAATTTCAAACCACCGGGGGAACGAGATACTTCAATGAGTATGTCAGAACTGGGCAGCCAAATGGGAAAATCGTTGAGTTTGATGCCGACTTTATCACTTGTTCTAACATAATTTCCAGATGTTTCAATATATACACTACCAAATGTAAAATAGATAGCTAGTGGGAAGCAGCCGCATAGCACAGGGAGATCAGCTCTGTGCTTTGTGACCACCTAGAGGGCTGGGATAGGTAGTGTGGGAGGGAGGGAGACACAAGAGGGAGGGGATATGGGGATATACGTATACATACAGCTGATTCACTTTGTTATACAGCAGCAACTAACACAACGTAAAGCAATTATACTCCAATAAAGATGTTAAAAAAATCAAACTGTAAATTCCTAGGAGATAACACAGGAGAATTCATTTGTTTTTAGAAATGAACATCTTGCCAAATAAGATGCAAAGGTACAAAAAGCATAAAACAAAAGATTTCTAAACGTATAAAAATTAAAAACTCCTGCACGGGAAAAAAATGTCACAAAGTCAAAGGGCAAATGACAAGCTGGGAGAGAATACGGCAACATATATGACAGACAAGGGGCTAAATCCCTTAGTAATTAATTAATCAACAAATGTTTAATGAGCAACTATTATGTGCCAGGCACCATTCTAAGCTTTCGGGGATTCAAACCAATTAAAACTCCCTGCCTCCTGGAACTCATATGCTGTTGGGAAGGCCATAAAGGGATCTTGGATATTAGTAAAAAAAAAAACAATAAAAAATGAGCAAAGACCATAAAGAGTTTGCATAGCTGATAATACAAATGGTGTTTAAACATATGAAGAGTGTACACTCTTCCTCATAACAAATGAAATGCAAGTTAAATTTCAATAGGGTACCATTTTCATCCATCAAATTTTCCAAAATCAGAAGTGTGATAATATACCATATTGACAAAGATATAGAGAAACAGGCATTCTCTTGCAGTTTAGGTTGGAGTGTGACTGGTTCAAGTTCTCTGAAAAGCAATTTGTCATCATCTATCACAATCATAAATGCATGCACTCTTTAGCCTAGCGATTCTGCTTCTAAAAATTTAGGCAACAGATACATTTGTATATGTGTGCAGTGACTTGTACATGAGAATGTTCACTGCAGCACTGCTTCTAACAGTGAGACTCACAACCAGTCTAGATACCCATCAGTAGGGCTATGGTTAAACAAATATGGAACATATCTAAAACAGTACAAATTGTTAAAAAGAATATAGTTGTGGGAATTCCCTGGTGGTCCAGTGGTTAAAATTTTTCACTGCCGTAGGCCCGGGTTCAATCCCTGATGAGGGAACTAAGATCCTGCAAGCCGCACGGCACAGCCAAAAAAAAAAAGAAAAAAGAAAAAAGAATATAGTTGCTGAAAATAATGTATGAAAGATTCTTCATAATACATTGTGAATAAATGTAAGATTCTGAAGTTATATGCAATGCTGAGCTGATACTAATGTAAAAAAATAACGTATGTGTATATTACATACGATAATTATAAATTTTATTAATATAAGGGATTTTAATGTACAATTAATAAATAATAGAATACACAATATTCTTTATTGTAAATTCCATCCTGTAACATCCCTGTGACTTGCTATTTCTTACAAAATCCACTGTCGGTTTTATAATTCTATCACTAACAATCATGTCACAAAATCAGACCCTGAATAAAGCTTGATTACTATACAGTCATCAAAGAAATCACTCATATCATTGACAATGAGTGTGTTCATACATGAAAACTGATTGATATTCCTTTTTTTTTCATGAGTGAAATGAACAGAAAACAAGTATGTATGTTGGAACTTCACCGCTTATCGGTGACATGGGCTGCTTGGCTGAATCAGGTCACGGTTTCTGAACATCGAAGAGTATTTCCTCACCTTTCAGTACTCTTCAAAACACAGAGTCAGACACAACGCTTCTACACTGAATCTGTGTTGTTATCGTTTTCCCCACCACTGTCCGAAGTCTAGAACAGGAGTCAGCAAAGGGCAGCCCTTGAGTCAAATCTGGCCAGCCGTCTGGTCTGTAAATGCAATTTGGACATCCATTCATCTACGTATCATCTAAGGCTGCTTCTGTGCTTCAATGGCAGAGCTGAGTAGCTGCAACAGAGGGCCATGTAGCTGCGAACCCTCAGGTATTTACTATCTGGCCCTTTACAGAGAAAGTGTGCAGACCCCTGGTCTAGATAATCAGCAGAACAATAAAACTCGCTCTGATTTGTAGTGTTTGCTGATTTCCAGGGTGTAAATATTCCCACCATGACCAATTCCGAGCCACAAACACACTCTCACTGAATGCACAGTTGGGAAGGGGTGTAAATAAACAGCACACGATGTGTACTATTTCCACTCTACAGATACGACAGGTGTAAATAACCTCGGGAATATAAAATAGATAACAGAAACGTATTAAAATAATTAGGAAGCTGTGAGTTTGGGGTATTTGTCTTAATATGACATATTTAATAATAAGTCATATAATTTGATTTAATAATGGCTGTGCTTGGCAACCAGCGTACCACACTCCTGAAAATTGAACAGTGGTCCCCTATAAGCCGATAGGCTGGCTACAGCACACCACTGGGCATGGTACACAGTCAAACGTGTGAAAACTGGCAGGCAAGGGCACGGCCTCACAAGCATACATGCTTCTGTGTGCACAGAGTATCTCAGAAGATGCATGAGGAACTGAGGACAGTCGTCGGTGGACAACTGGTCTAGGAGGTGGGGTGAGATGGAGATTTATTTTTTACTGTAGATTCTTTTTGAATTTTTTTATGCCTGTGTAACCCTTAAAAACCCAATTTATTACTGTTTGTAGGCGGGCTGTTAAATCACTCTTTCCTGCGTCTCCTTTCGCCCTGGAGAGTCTGGGCACTGCCGGTAGAGTGCTCCGGCATAGCCCCACCCCTGGCTGGGTCCAGGAGGGCACGCCTCCTGAAGTTCAAGCGCATCGGGGCGAGGAGCCCTGGAGGCTGCATGACAGCCCTGTGAATCAGCACTCTTCCCAGATGAAAATCCTGGCTGGAAAGCAACCTCAAGGCCTCTGGCCCTACTGCATTGCCCTGACTTCTCTTCTCTGTTTGTTCATCTTTCCTGGAAAAAATAAGTAAGCTTCTCCCCTTCACCAATTTCCCTGGCACTCTGCAGGGCAGGCCACAGAGCCCTGCCTGCCAGCTGCTTCCCGTGTGCCAAGTCTTCCTGACTCTATTTACCTCGGTGCTCCAGTGCCCCGGGCCGCGTCTGTGCTCACAGATCAGCTAGTGGGGCGGCTGCCAGCCCAAGTCCACACTCCCTGCTGGTGACCCCCAGCATGTGTGCCATGAAGACCAGCCTGGCTATGACAGGAGTCGCTTCCACAGGAACCATCGAGAAGACTTTAGCCAGGAGAAAATGCTACCTCATCCAACAAGGCATCTGAGGGGCATGGGGGCCCCCGTGTCTATGTCATGTTTTATCCGCTCCAACTGGCTTTGTCAGATTTCTGACTATCTACCTTGGGCTGTGTCCCCTGGTGCTTGTCCCTGGTTCTTTTTTGTTCTCCAGGTTTATGAACCTCTTTCTGCCTCACCTGGTCTCACCTGGACACCGGCCTCGTGGTGGAACCCTTCCCACACGTCCTGTCTGGACCGACCACTTCCGTCCAGATGCCCAGCTCGGCTCTTATCAGCCCCCTGCCCTGTCCTCCACCTTCTCAGTCCTGGCTCCTCTCTCTGTCCCTTGAATCCATAACCAGATATGCTCACACTCTCACCGGAGACTCCAACCTACTGACTCAGGGCCAAGGACGCACCCAAGTGTTTGTTTTCTAGGTAAGACTTCCTCAGTGGTGATGTGAAGGGCAGCAACAGATGTGTCTGTGCTCTTCCTTCAAGTTCCTGGTGACTCCTTTTCCCAGCCCCGATGTCCAGGCTAGATGAGGCTATGGGGTGTCTTAGGTCAGGTTCCCCTGAAGCAGGTCTTGAGACATAAATGAGAATGAAAGAGGTTTACTGGGCTGTGTTCCCAGAAGATGTCGGTAGGAGACCAGGAAAGGAAGAAAGCCAAGCAATGATGCAATAGTTAGCGCTGCAGTTTCCCACTGCTGCGTGACAAACCATTCCAACTTAGTGGTGGACATCAACTGCCCTTTTCATTATGCCAACAGATTCTGTGGGTCAGGAATCTGAACACAGCAAATGGGACAGCTTGTTTCTGTCCCATCATGTCTAGGGCCTTAGCTGGGAACACTTGAAGGCTGGATGGCTCAACAAACAGGGACTGGAACCATCTAGAAACTTCCTGACTTGCAAGTATGACTGAGCTGGGATGAGTCAAACCAGTGGGTCTACATGTGGCCTTCCCTGTGGCTTTGGGCTTCTCACGGCATGGCTGTTGGGTTTCAAGAGCAAGCCTTCCAAGAGGCAAAGTCTTGGAGAAGAAGACTTGCAAGAGAACAGGGCCAAAGCTGCAAGACTTTTTCTGACCTGGTGCAGAAGTCAGCAGCAAAGTTCTACTGATTCAGCTGCACTCTGCTGGTTACAAGCAATCACTGAGCCCAGCCCAGATGCAAGGGGAGGGGAATTATCTCCAAGCCTCAATGGGACTAAGGCAAGGTCACGTTGCAGAAGAGCATGTGGGTGGGAGGTACCACTGTGGTCATCTTTGAAACTGCCGTCTGCCACATGCACAAAGGCCCACAGAGGGTACCTCTGGCTTGATCCCACGTGAGAAGCTCCAAGGACCTGGGCTGTTTATACCCACGCACCCATTTGTCATTGGCCTCAGGCTGCCCCTGGGAGAGCACAAATTTCCAGTCACTTCTGTCTCTCTGTGAGTGCAGACAGAGTAGACTCTGGCAGGCTGGGGGCAGCCCTGTGACAATGTGTGTGACAGAGACACAGGTGCTGGCCCTTGGGACTGAAAACAATGTGGGAACAGATGTGCATAAAACTGGAAAGGGATCCCGGGTGGTCTGGGCTGTCTCAGTCCCTTCGGGCTGCTAAAACAGAGTACCATAGACTGGGTGGCTTATAAATAACAGAGATTTCTCAAAGTTCTGGAGGTTGGAAGTCCAAGATCAGGGTGCCCTCTTCCAGGGTGCAGGCGGCCATCTTCTGGTCGTGTCCTGACACAGCAGCAAGCAAAAAGGGGAAGCACCCTCTCTGGTGATGCTTATAAGGACATTAATCCCATTCCGAGGGCTCTGCCTCATGACCTCATCTAATCGTAATCACCCCCCAAAGGCTCCACCTTCAAATACCATCACGCTGGAAGGTAGGGTTTCAACACTGCCATCAACGGCAGCATGGGCTGGGATCTCTGTACGTACTCCTCACTTAACAAGTGCTGTGGAGTGTTGGCTGTGCCCTGGCGTTTTAGAGTTAAACAGCTCCTGGCCCCACTATGACTACTGTGTAACCTCTTTCATAAAATAGGGATAATAAGAGTACTTACTCCACAGGGTGGTGGTAAAGATAAAATGAAGTTATGCATGAGAACCATTAACACGGTGCTTCTGGCACATGGTAAGTGCTGTAAGTGTTAACAGTTGGTGTTGTTATTTTGGTAAAGGCACAAGAAAAGGAGTTATCTACCCAGCTGAGCATAGAGGGAAGGACACACTATGGGAACTATATGGAAGCTCTGACACAAGCTGGGGTGTGATAGCAAGGACAAGACTTTGCTCTTCAGGGCTATTTATGGTGTGTGTTCTGCAGGCTTAATGTGGGATGCTGGGCATGGCTGCAGGGAAGCCACTCAGCCTGTCAGGTGGCTGGTATTACACACCTACGGTCTGCAAACTCAGTGCGGTCTGGCCACCCTCCTGGGTTTCTCTGGTCGGCCCTGCTCCTTAAGCACCATTACCTGCTCTCTTTGTCTGCATTCATTTCTTAGCTGCCATGAAGCTTAACACTTGGATTTCTTTCTATTTCTCTGGCCACAATTATTTGGGTTTTTTGTTTGTTTTAATAAAATAGCTCCCATACACCAAAGACACGTATGTTTGTATATAACACACATCTACACAGTTTTTAAAAAATAACAAGAGGAATACACAGGTGCTTGATACCCAAATTAAAAATAAACAAAAACATTACCAGTATCTTTGAAGTGTGCATGTTCCCCTGCCTAATTGCATCTTCTTACCTCCACCCAAGAGGTTACCATTATCCTGAAATTTACGTTGATCATTCTCTAGCTTTTTCTCTATAGTGTACTGTATTAGTTATCTACTGCTGTGTAACAAATTATCCCAAAACTTAGCAGCTTAAAAAATATGCATTTATTACTTCACAGGTTTCGTGGTCACAAATTTGGGAGCAGCTTCGTCGGGTGGTTGTGGATCCAGATCTCTCATGAGGTTGCCGCCAAGACTTCAGCCCGGGCCACAGTCATCTGAAGGCCTCACTGGGGCTGGGGATACATTTCCAAGATGGCACACTCACGTGGCTGTTGGCAAGAGGCATCAGGTCCTTGCCACGTGAGCTACTTGAGTGTCATGACACCTGGCTTCCCCCCAGAGCAAGTGATCCAGGCAAGGGCATGAAGGAAGCCACACTGCCTTTCATGACCTAGTACCAAAAGTCACACACTATTACTTATGCTTTTCTATTCATTAGAAGTGAGCCACTGAGTTCAGCCCACATTCAAGGGGAGGGGAATTAAGCTCCATCTTTTAAAGGAGTGTCAGAATGTAAGAATTTGTTATGTGTATATCTGTGTCTGTGTCTGTGGTCCTAAACTATTCTTTTTTTTTTAATCTTTACCTAAATGGAATCACACTGTTAGTGTTCTGTGACTTGCAATTTCATCCAACCTTATATTTTTGACATCCATTAATACTGACACATTGTATTAGTCTGCTAGGGCTGCCATAAGAAAGTACTGTAGACAGGGCAGCTTAAAAAAAACTGAATTTGTTTTCTCAGACCTGGAGGCTGGACGTCCAAGATCAAGGTGTTGGCAGGGGTAGTTTCTTCTGAGGTCTCTCTCCTTGGCTTGTAGATGGTTTTCTTCTCCCTGTGTCTTCGCATGGTCTTCCTTCTTTATGGATTTGTGTCCTAATTTCCTCTTCTTATAAGGACATGGGTCATATTGGATTAAGGCCTACCCTAATGATCTCATTTTATTCATTTCCCTCTTTAAAGACTTTATACCCAAATACAGTCACATCCTGAGATAGTGGGGGGTTAGGACTTCAACATATGAATTTTATGGGGGCACAATTCAACCCATAACATACACAGACCTGCCGTTTATTCACTTTCACTGCTCTACAGTATTCTATTGTGTGAGTAGACAAAAATTTTTTTCTATTCTACTATCGATAGATATTTTCAGTTTTTGTTATTAAAAAACATACTGTCACATGCCTCCTGGCACCCTTGAATATGTAACATACACACATCTTCATATTTACTAGGTTAATGCCAATTTTTTTCCCCAAAGGTTGCACTAATGTACGTTCCCATCACCAGGATATCAGAGTTCTCATTGCTCCACATTCTTGCCAGTGTTTGGTATTGTCAGACTCTCTAACTTTTCTAATCTCATGGGTGAGAAATGATATCTTTTGTGGCTCTATTTAGCATTTCCCAGATGACCAACAAGGTTGAGGATCCTTTCATTTGTTTGTGAAATGCTTTTTCCTTTCTTTTGTCCATTTATCCATTGGGTTGTTAATTTTTTCCGTATTGATTTGTCAAAGTTCTTCACATATTGGTACTGCACGTATTTTCTACCAGCTTATCTTTTTACTTTCTCTGGCCAAACTTCATAAGTCTCGGCTCTTCTTCTTCTGCCCATCTATTGTTTGTGTTTCTCTCAGGTCCTGTCCTCTCCCTGCTCTACATACTGTCCTTAGTTAATCCGTCCAATGAATGAACTTCTCACCTACAAATGTTACTGAATCCTAAACTACATCTTCAAAATAGCTCTGCTGAGCATCTTAAAGTTCACTGAACACTCCATGCTTTTTCCAACTTGTGAGCTTTGGCACATGCTTGCCACTCTTAGTGGAATAACATCTCCCACCCCATCCTCCTCCACTCTCCCATACACTTTTTTTTTCTTTTCTTTTTTTTTTTTTAAATGTCGGTTCATTGGGGTTTTTTAAATTTAGTTTTGGCTGTGTTGGGTCTTCGTTTCTGTGCAAGGGCTTTCTCCAGTTGCGGCGAGCGGGGGCCACTCTTCATTGCGGTGCGCAGGCCTCTCACTATCGTGGCCTCTCTTGTTGTGGAGCACAGGCTCCAGACACGCAGGCTCAGTAGTTGTGGCCCACGGGCCCAGTTGCTCCACAGCATGTGGGATCCTCCCAGACCAGGGCTCGAACCCGTGTCCCCTGCATTGGCAGGCAGACTCTCAACCACTGCACCACCAGGGAAGCCCTCCCATACACTTTTTAAAAATTGTATTGAAGTGTAGTTGATTTACAATGTTATGTTAATTTCCACTGTACAGCAAAGTGACTCAGTTATAGATATATATATTCTTTTTCATATTCTTTTCCATTATGACTCATCACAGGATACTGAATATAGTTCCCTGTGCTGTACAGTAGGACCTTAATGTTTATCCCCCATACATTTTTTTTATCACTAATTCCTACTAACCTTCAAGTCTCGGGTCTCAGCTAAGGGACTTCTCACCATGCCCCCATAGTGCCATACAACTGTCCTGCCACAGCACTTAGCACACTCTATTATAATTATCTTTTTACTGAACTGTCTCCTAGACCAGACTATGAATCCCTATGACACTGTACCCAATACTTATGTTTCAGTACATAACTGACATGCAATAAATACTGTTGACTAGTAATTTTCATTCATTCATTCATTTTCATGCTCACCAATACAACTGACACATAAGTGTGCAAGTCATTTCTGTTACTAAAACATGAACATAAATTTTACACATTAATCATCAAAATGAAGTTAAAACCACCTCTGATCCCTGGTTCCCCCCCAATGAAAGTATTACAAACATGCACAACAATAGTTAAGGTTCAGCAACAGCTTCTGCTCAGCCAAGACCACAGCCCTATGACAAGAAAAGCCAGACAGAAGTTTGCAGGGTCCCCCTCAAGATTTCTAATGGACCTCTGTCCCTCCCCAACGTTGGTCAAACGAGTTGCATTTCCTCCAGAGAGAAATGGGAACTAGGGAGAATTGTCTAACCTGGTCACACCCGGGAAAGTGGGAACGCTTGACACGCCCAAGGAGGGATGAGGGTGCTTCTTGGCAATGACTCAATGGCGTGCTTTCCCTGAAGTCATCTGTTTGGCATTGATACCTGTGTAGTCAAAGTCAGACTGTCAGCTCTGTACCGAACTGTACCAAACAGCTGTACAGGCAGAAAGGGGTTGGCAATAGGGCATCTGATGAATGAGCTGAAGTCTTCCTTTGACTTTATTTTCTGGTCAAAATGTAAGCTGAACAGATTTGCTACTTTTTCTTTCCTCTGAGATAAATCTTTCTAAGCATTTGGAATTAGAATTAGACTGACAAGGTGTCAGTCAGTCACTCCTAATTTCCTCCACTGCAAGGTTTCTCAACTTCAGCACTATTAACATCTTAGTCCAAATAATTCTTTGTTGTGGAGAGAGTGTCCTGTGCATTGCAGGACGTTTAGCAGTGTCCCTGGCCTCCACTCACTAGATGCTAGTAGCACCCCTTCAAATCGTGACAACCAAATATACCTCCAGACACTGTCTCCGGGATCTAGAATCTGGAGAGACCTTTAGATTTCCCGCTACTGGCTAAAGTTGCCTTGTCTTTAGCTCCCTTCTCACATAAGGGCTAATCAATAAAGAAATTATTTTAATAAATAGGAGGCATAAGCCTGTTGTGTTGAACGTTTGGAAATGATTCTCTTCTCAATTCAAGGTTGAATTCAGCCTTGGTTCATACTTATCATTTTACAACCCTACTCAAAAGTAGGGAGCGATTCCCATTAACAGAAAGTTCACATTCCTAAGCCACCTATTCAAGAGCCCCACAACCTGGGTTTAGAAACTTGGGGAGAATTACGCTAAGTGGAGAAAGAGGTTGGACATTCTAGGAGAGAGGAATGGTATTGGCAAAAGTGGCGGTGAAAGGGGAAAGACATTTCCACAGGTGCACAGACCACCGTGGCTGGAGGGGAGAGGTTCTATCCAGGAATATCCAAAGATTTGCTTTCCCATAGACCAGCTCACACCGCTTTGGGGAAGCCTTCCCGGATCTCACCAACCCATGTGATTATTCCAGCCTCTGAATTCCTGCCAAACTGTGTTTCCACCTCCAGTGTCACAGTTAATTTACACTGCTTTGTACTGCTAATCATTGTCATCTCTGTACTGTATTCATAATGTATTGTCCCAATTCAACGGTGAATTCCTAAAGGACAGTGACAGTTCTAGGGCAAAAGTGTACACAGAGCAGGTGCTTGAAAAGTGTGATTTCCTGGAAACAGGGAGGGGTTGCCCAAATTAAATAGCTGGGTTACGATCACCCCTGGAATGAAAAGTTAGTTAAACTTAGTTGGAAATCACTTATGCAGAATAATAGCCGAGGAAACAATATAGAAGTTTATCAGTATTACTCAAAATTTAATTTAAAAACCATTCCATCAATCCAATCAATTTTATAGTCTGGTGGTATTGGAGTATTTTTCACACTAAATGAAAAAAACATGCTCTTTTTTTCTATGTAGAAAATAAGACCAGAAAAATGCCTGCAAGCGGTCACATGTGTATTACTCTCTGAATCCAGACCCAGCTCTGGACTGAAGCCAATGTCATTTCATCCAAGCCCCAATCAGTCACCATCCCACATATAACAACACGTGTCTGGACTCGTTATTTTGCAATCTTGCAATGACCTTTGAAATCGCCTCTTGTTACTGGATGAAGACCGCTTCAAAGCAAGGGAAGCTGATTGGAAATGCGGTTATCAGGGACCCAGGCCAAGTTCATCTTCACCGAAGTCCTGTATCATATTCTTGACAAACATGAAATAATTGCTGCGTGTTGACTACTGTAAACCAGGAGTGCACCTAAAGCTACATCCGTGGGATGGGGCGGGAGGACCATGAGATGAGAAAGGCCCCACCCTAGGTTGACAACGCCTGTGACTGTACTTATCCCAGCACCTTCCTCTGAACTCATTATGGCTTCTCCAATCTCATTACCTCTGGGTTGAACTCCTGTACCCAGAACAGTCTCTCTTCACAGTTACGGCACCTCAAGACATTTGAAAGTGAGCCACTCTCCCTTTAGAACATATTAATGCTTTTTAAAAACAAATGATTTTGTTATTGTTTAGTTTTTCAAACTATTACCCCAAAATGGCAAAGGTAGGCAAACTCATGATAGAGAGAATGAAGAGAATTTGTAAGAAAACCTGTTGAAAACTTCAGACGGACAATTACGCTCACTCTCCCACTAATTTGTTTTTTTGCGGAAAACAGATTTGAGGCTTTTTACAATAAACGATACATGAACTATAAAATTATTAAAAGAAGGTAAATTAAAGAATAAGAGATGAGGCGTGAAAAGGGAGTAAAATTCTATCAGAAAACCTAAGTAAAAGCAGGTATCTTCGACCATTCCAGTTGCTAAAACAGAATACCACAGACTGGGCGGCTTACAAACAACAGAAATTTATTTCCTACGGTTCTGGAGGCTGGAAGTCCAAGCTCCAGACACCTGCAGATCCAGTGTCTGCTGAGAGCCCACTTCCTTCTCACTGTGTCCTTACCTGGTGGACGGAGGGAGGGAGCTTTCTGGGGTCTCTTATAAGGACACTAATCCCATTCACGGGGGCTCTACCCTCATGACCTAATCACCTCCCAAAGGCCCATCTCCTAACGCCACTGCACTGGGCGCCAGGCTTCAATGGGTGAACTGTGGAGGCACAAGCACTGAGTCGACAGCAGGGAGCTGTAACTGACCACAAACCTTAGCTCCAAGATGCCAAACCATCAGGGCACGCGGGGAAGGGTGAAGAGCCCCACTAGGGGTTCCTAACCCCGGCTGTGCTGCAGATCCACGGGGGTCGCGGGAGGAAGCATTTTAAAAACACAGTTATCTGACCCTACCCAAACTTACTGGATCAGAGTCCCCAGGCGTGAAGCCCAGGTGCCTGTCTCACAGAAGGAAACACCAAGAGAGACGACCTTTTTCTTCGCTCTGAGGCAATTCGTGACAGATGATTTCTATAAAGGTTGCTGGACAATGAAATGCACCGGATTCAATAACAGTGTTTACCACGTGGCTGTTCCTCGTGCTGACCTTCCATAAAGCCTGAGGACATAAGCCTGCATCCCAGCGGATGAACGAACCGTCCGCTCCGGAGGCAGCCTTGAGCTCATCTCACCGACCTGGCCCCGGCGCTAGAGCAGAGCGACGGGGGCACACAGGTGCCGGGGGCCTCTCCTCCGGGGCGGCCGTGCACGAAGCAGGCGCCCCATAAACGCTGGCAGTTGCTGTCACCGTTATTCTCCAAGATCACTGTTCTTACTGGACTTCGGCAGGGGGCTGAAAATTGCCCATCACTAACAAGCAGCCGCAACAAAAAGCAGCCCTGCTTTCACTGCACCTCCCTTGTAGCACTGTTGCCAGCAAAGCCCATTAACAGTTCCCCGGAAATGAAAATAGACTCCGGGTAATAAAAGGAAGTCTAACCTTCCTTCTCCTTTGTGCTCAGCGTAGCTTCACTGGCTCACAGGGGCCACGAGCAGAGGCCGCGCACCTGGCCCTTCAGACCCGGGTTCCTCGAGCGGAAGGGCGGCGCCCACACCTCAGCTCCGGGGCATGCGCAGAAGCCCCCAGGCCACGGCGCTGCCGCCTAGCGGCAGGGGCCGTGCGCGGCAACGCCACGCCTGCCCTGCGGGAGCCCCGCCCCTACCCCTGAGGAGACCCCGCAAGGCAGCCCTGCCGAGCGCCTGGCAGGAGAGCGAATGCCGACACCTCCGTGTCCTCTGGGCAGGAGGACCTTTCCATTCGTGAGAGAAGGGGCATCGCCCTTGGGGTACTGGCTCAGAAACCATGACCCCTTACTCGGGCAATCAGATCAAGGCGCTCAGGGGTGGTCCCCTTGCCTCCGTAGCAGCCGCTACAGCTCTGAAAGGTTGCCATGCAGCCAGCCA